GCCGAGGTTGAGCTCGAGGTCTACAAGAACTAGTTCTACTCGTTTACTGAAACTAATTGAAATTTTGTTAGTTATTTCTACAAAAATACTCAACAATTTGCCCTTTTCGACGGTTAGAACAAATCAGGGACGGTAGTAATCTACCCCAAACTAGCTGTTAAGGAAAGCCATCACATGCCCGTAACCGGCAAAGAACGTTGTTGAAGTTGGAAGTTAACCAGCTCTGAAACGCGCAGCTTCGCGACATCGTAAGCAAAACTTCGCCCCTCCACGAGACCGAACCCAGCCCATGCGCAGCTGAACCGCTATCGTTGCCAGTGCACCACGGAGCAGTTGCGCTCCCTTCTGAGGGGTCGCTGATCACATTAGGATGGCCCAGGCTGTTTGCAAACAACTCGCGATGTGTGTGTGGTTTCGATCTGTCTACATTGCCGGTGACGGCGTAGAGGCCTGCCACTGCGCCAACCATCGGCTGATGCGATCGGGGATGGGTACGCTCAGGAAGATCGAGCATCGTGTACTGCTCTTGTCTTTCTGCAAAGTTGCGACTGGTATGTCGCATGCATTCTTGCACTTAAATGAATCTCTCCCAGACATTTCCATTTTGGTGAAAATGTAGTTTGGGGGGGGGCACCCTATCTAATCGAAGTGGAAGCGGAAAGACACTCATATCTAATCAAAGTAGAGTTGCGGGAAGGCACTCATATCTTATCATATCTTTCACTGAGACCGTGGCCTACCACGAGTACGTCACACTTGTCACTCATGTCATATTATTCTGCCGAAAATGGCTGCTACCTTGCTTACCCCTCACTTTCATCAAAACTTCGTGCGATTGCCGTGAAAGCCCTCGAAGCAGGAGCCCTTCAAATTCTTCCGAAGAATCCCTTTCTCATCTTAAGGCTTAGTCCTGTGCAATATAAGTGACTCACTCTTCTGATTGTCCTCCCCCCAAACCAGAGCGTCAAATTGTGAATCAACAAGTAACAAAGTGGAATGAGGCAAATAAAAAGAGTGGTAACGTTATAGTGCCCTTTCGTTATACCTCTAAGGCTACTTCTGCATTGCCGCCGTGTTTCAAAACTGCCACGCGATGGCAAAATACTCAAAAGTCTCGCTAAGTCCCAAGGATCTGAAAAAGAGCGGATAGCTTCGCTGGCCTGATGCCAAGGCAAGAGGAACGGAACAGAATGTGTTGCGCGGACGAGTTGTCCGGCCACAGCAGGATGTGGTAATTACGGCCTGTGCGCTCCAATGCCAATGGGATCGCGCCATATGACGCACACCCCGGTGAGAGGTATTGACGCCTATGGTAGCTCTAACGGTGCTAGAGGAAGGTAGAGAGGCGCGTGGACTAGACCGATTGCATGTCGGTCACAGGGATATCTGATATTCCCGAGAGCCGGTTGGCGTGGCCGTCCCCTGGGAGTTTCCGGGAAAGCATACCATACCAGGATGGGGTCCCTCTCCTGATCGAGGAAGCATATCTTACGGCCTAAGGAAATAGAGGCAATTCAGGGACTGGGGATGCGCGAACCAGTTTTCGTTCGGCAAAGTTTCAGCATATAAGAGCGCAAACAAAGCATCATCTTGATGCTTATTCAAGGAGCACGTTCGAAGAGCACGCAGACAATTTACACTTCGTGCGCTCTGACGTTTCGCTGCGGGACCACAATTTAGGATCCCGCAGCAGAACTTCTGCAGCGCGACTATACGCGCGATTGTGTGAAGGAGTGGAATACTCCCATTGGAAAAATAGGAGATTAAGAGCTTAGACGTCTTCGATCGAGTCCAGTAATATGTGCCTAATCCTATCAGTTCAAGCGCGTTTCCTTCTGATAGCATGATGTCGTGCACGCTCACATGAATAAGCCCTGCGTTCGCGTGCGCGTTCATACTGTGATGTTTCGCTGCGGGATCCTACATCGTAGTCCCGCCGCGATATCAAATCGCGCGAGACAAAGAGCGAAGTTCCTTTTATTTCGACCCTGATTTCACTCTTCTTTTCCAGTTTAGATCATGTTTCGCCCAGCTGAGACTTTCATTATAAATTTCCATTGTACAGCGTTCCAGATTAAATTAATAAGATTGCGAAAACACTTGATTTATGCAATTTGAAGTATGCAATATGCAGATCCAAATGGTCCCTCGGTTGGAAGAAGTGCACTGAATCCAAGTATGCGATGTAGACTCTCCTACAAGCACAATTTCAATTAACTTGTCTATTTTCTTCAGCTAATCGTAGAACCTCCCTCACCTCGCATGGTTCTTTACAGTTACTACCCTATTCTTGAACATGAAGTCCAAAGAAGCACACCTCCACACCATCAATGATCTCAAATGCAAAAACGGCCTTTGTTCGAGAGTAATTGAATCGATCCGGGAAGACTTGAGGACCATACCTGAATGAGTCAGACATTCAGAAATATATCCGCTAATGCACTCAAATACGCCACATCCCTACTATATATAAAACGCTATGTCTGTCTGTACGTGTGTGTGTGTGTGTGTGTGTGTGTGTGTGCGTGTGTCACGAAATTCATAGCACGCGTCGCAGCAGTCGTTAGGAGCTGATTTTTTGATATGATATAGGGGTGGGACGGGAACATATTTGGTGGGGGTCACAAGTGATAACGACTGATAAGAGCAGATAAGAGGCGCTGAAACACAAATTTCACGAAATTCATAGTGCGCTTCGCAGCAGTCGTCAGGAGCTGATTTTGGGACATGATATGGGGTGGGAACATATTTGGTGGGGTCACAAAGTGATAACGAGTGATAAGAGCAGATAAGAAGCGCTAAACAAATTTCCGAAATTCATAGTGCGCTCGCAGCAGTCGTCAGGAGCTGATTTGGGATATGATATAGGGGGTGGGACGGAAATATTTGGTGGGGGTCAAAACGTGATAACGACTGATGAGGACTGATAGTATCGATATGCGTACGAACGTAGAGAGCCCTTGAAATAGAAAATAGAGAGCAGATTGTAGATAATGCCTTTCATTTCAATGTCATTTCATCAGCGTTGTAAACTCGAACACCTTTCGACCGCTACACCTTCTGAATTCTTGAGATGAATGGGATGCTCGAATAAATATGATTATGAATACTAAGCATTCGGTTTCGAGATATTCGACCGCTAAATTACCATAGATACTCGACGCATA